TCATCTATGTAAATGACATTGTACAAAGATTTGAATGTTGGGTCATCTGGTAAACTATGGTTGTCAAGCATTTGTGTGCAAAATCACACACGTTCCTTCATATTTTGTTCAGTTAAGGTGAACTTTATGGCATTTGTATGGCGCCTAAACTTTCCTTCTTTTAGACGCCTATGCAATGTGCTCCTTGACATATGCAAGGCACTGGCTAGGTCACGGATAGTATGACGCTGTCTAAGTGGCACATCTTTGATGATATCTGGGTTAAATGGAAGTTTTTTACCACCACAATTTTTTTCTTATTGGAATCAAAAGCTGAAATTCCACCACCAGTTTTTCCATCTAGCCATACACGCTGGACAACTCTCAACGGCACCCCCATATCACTAGCAACAAATTTTGTCACTCCCTCCTTCATCATGCCTGGAGCTGATCTTTCTAAGCACATCGCATACAGGATTCTTTTTTTATCAGGAGGGTAGTACCGCCTCCTCTTGATATTGGCAGGAGTGCCTACATAAAGAAGAAAAAACATGGTTTGCATGGGACTGTTCATTCAAGGTTTGCATGCAGAAAGCTTCAGCTCATTTGAAAAATAGAACATGGTTTGCATGCGATGGAGTACCTGAGTCAAATGCCACAGCATCAGCTTCATCTCCGGCGTCTGCTTGAGGCACGACATCTGCTTCTTCAACTTGCTGCACGGATTCCCCTTCAACTTGCTGCAAGATGTGTGCACCGCTGCCTGCTTCAGGTTCAACCACGACGTCTCCATAGACTGCTTCATCGTCGCCATCAATTGTGTTGTGGTCACCTTCATCTTGGCCATCTTCACCTTCGTCGTCGTTGTCGTCAGCTGTATCATTGCCATTAAGTACACAGCTTGTACAATGAAAACATATAGAAAAAGAAAACTCTCAGTGATTACCTCCGTTGCCGGAGTCCCAAACATAATCATAGCTCAAATCATGTACGTCTCCCTCAAATTCCTCAATCTCATCCCAGTTGATAGGCTCGTTCAAATCTAAACCAGGCATGACGTTCAAACGAAGAAGGAAGATTACAGAAAGGAATGTGCTGTCAACCGTGCATAAGCATTGCCTATTTATAGGAGCACAAATGAGCCATTAGTGGTGCCACTTGCCAAAATATTTTTCATGCGCGCCAAATTAGTTAGGCGCCAGCAGTTGAAAAAAATAGCGCAGGCATAGATGCATGCCGAAAAAAATTAGCGGGCCAGGAAAAATTAGTGCGATTTGCATCTGCATGCATGCGTGCGTGTAGGCGTGAGATTTGCATCTGCATGCATGCGTGTAGGCCGGAAGAAAAATTGGTGCGGCTACATGCATGGAACCCGGAAGGATTCCGCGGGCCAGGAAAAAAGAAGCGCGCGGCTGCAAGGTGCATACATGCATGGGAGAAGCCGTAGCGCCGCGGCGCGCGCTCGGTTAACGGCGCGTGACGGAGAAGGCGTAGCGTTGAGTTATTACGAGGCGGAACCGAACGGTTTTTCTAAGAACAAGCGGTGATTAATGTCTTTCTTGGTCTTTGCATTTTTTGAGTTGCGTCTCGTATCCTGAGACGGAGGGAGTAATAACAAGAAGCTGTCTGTTGTGGCATCCCCGAATCAAAAGAAGATGCAATAGGGGATGCCAGATGACACAAACAACAATACAAGATAATCATCAAAAGGGTATATTCAAAATGCAACAATAGCAAGGATATGTGAGGAAACCTCCAATTAATCATGCTAAATCAAGCCCAGTGAGCACGCGTCGGTTGGAGCTACGTCGACAACCTGCCATATCACCTGCACAACGCACAAGATTGAACGAGCTTTCTTTGGATCTCGAGCATGAGCTGACACCATTGGCTACGGTTGGTAGAAGCTAGCTAGCTAGACAATGTAGTGCCAGTTGATTGGTTGGCAATCGAAAGTGCGCCCAAAACGCAGCTGTCGCATGTGCAGCGGAAGCAACTACACTGCTCAGTGCTCACTCACACACAATACCGACGCGCAAAATAGCCTACAGGGAAGTTAGGTAGGCACGGGTTGTTCGCGATCATTATTTAGAATTAGAATGCATTTGGTGCCTAGTCAGATTGGTTGATTAGCAGGTACTATAGCTAAAGCTAGCTGAGGGTCCGAGGCTGAGTACTGCTACACAGAGCAACTCAGGTATAGCAAGTGTCATTTGACAACTGAGTAACTGACAATACCTGCAGGAAGCTGCTTGTGATTGACGTTGCATCCAGGCATTGGTCATGTGAGATTGTGAGAATTGAGGGACGGTACTGAAGTTGACGGCGATACGCTTGCTTATCAGGGAACAGTTGTGGGTAAATGATCTGTTCTGCTCTGTGTTGCTGCTACCAACCGGACTGCCCGTTGAGGGTAAATGATCTGCTCGACGCCGCTTGTTAGCAAGTCCTGGCTCCTGATTCCTGAAGGACAACTTGAAGCTCGCCTGTTGTCTTTGCAGAATCAGGAGAAGAAATCAGTCTCTGACTGTGAGGTGGCAACTGGCAAGGCCCGGTTGGTAGCACTGATACGATCCGCCCTGCGGTGAGTTGTTGTATTCTCGGTTGGGATGATATACTTTGTTATCTGTAACCGTCGTCTCATGGCAATGATAATGTTATCTATTGGCGCTCAGAATGAATGATGGGTTTCATCGGTTAATCAGAGAATTCCTGACCCTTGACATTATCTAATTACTAGTAAATATGCCCGTGCATTGCAATGGGAGAAAAACCAGTCTTAAAAACGTAATGGACAACGATTATTGTGATTTAATCCGTTGTCTTTTCTATACCTGCATGGAGTCTTAAAAACGTAATGGACAACGATTATTATGATTTAATCCGATGTCTTTTCTATACCTGCATGGAACAAAATAAAAGACATCTTATCTCATGACACGGTTACTATTAGTCAATGAATTATAAGGGTTAACTTACCGTAAATTTCTAGAGCATTTCACGTGTCCATGAGCACTCGAGCACACGTGGGAAACCACTTCTTGTCTCTATTTTCTCCGATCTTGCTGCTTGGGAGAGGCGAGCATGCTCACACAAGAGAGCTCGGTGCAAGCTCTTCCAAGCCCCTTGAAAAAACGCTAACCTGTGAGCTTCCAGAGTAGTTCCTGCTGGAGCACCTCGGTGTGGCGTTAGTCTGCAAGCTCAGTGAAGCGGGTCATGGTGGAGCCCCTTTCAACACGAGCGGGTTAAAGGGATCTCCGGCCGCCCAGAGTGCAAGGATGGTGGGTCCTGGCGTCAAGGTGTTGACTACGGTGCGATAGGCTTGAGGCGACGACGGCCTTGTTGCTATGTGCCAGGCCGTTTTAAGCGTCCACCTACCATAGCCACCATGAGGTCCGCGGCACATAGCGCGGTGGACGAGAGGTGCGACAGGCCGGCGGCTTGGCCATAGCGGCTCAGCCATGCGGGTGATGTGGCCGGTCAATAGCTCGGGCGAATGTTGTGGCGGATCCAGCCTTGGCGACCGCGATGCCAGGACATAGTACCAAGGCGACGACAAGTTTATGTCGTCCGATTTTATTTGTAGTCATCTCCTTGTTTACCTTGCTCTAGTAGGTCCGTGTTAGACTCGATTTGAAAAAGATTTGCAAGACATGATCCGTGTTGCTTTTTTATTAGAATGCTAAATCCATGTTTGTTTACCATTGATTTTATATATTTATTCCTTCTACTCTACGTTTGGATTGGAACCCCTACATTGTTTCCTTCCGCACTACGTTTTCTCAATTTATTCCATCCGATTTCCTGTTGGAAAAATAGGGGAGAAAAATGAAAAAAAGAACTCACATATAGAACTGAGCAGCGGAGGAAACGGAAAAAGAAGGAAAAGAATCAGGACACGTGGATGGGAATGTCGGATACAACAGTGGTTAACGGAGAGAAAAACGGACACGGTTTTTCGGGGCTGATGATCGAGACCGAGTAATTTTTATTAAGTTGGATAAAAAATTATTTGTGACATAAATTTCGTCTTTTTAGTATTAGGTATAGATTTGATTCCTGAGAGCATCTTTTTATAGTCTTCTCTTGGAATGTGTTTGGACACGGAGTGATGTTTATCAGAGGCTTCCGGTTTACTATCTTCCTATCGCGCGGATGCAGAGCCTTATCCATCCGTTGATCTTGTTTGGCACTCTCAATCTTTTGTTCATTTGGGCAATTTGTAAACAAAGGCAGCAAAGAGCAGGTCTTGTACATTTGCTTATCCAAAGGATCGAAGTCGTACTCGTACACATGTTGCTGTTTTTTTTTTCAAAGGCAAGGAATTATAGAAAGAGTATTCGGTTTCCATTGATACTCCGTCTCCGTGGATGCAAAACTTCTTGCTGTTGATGTCAGTATGTTACCATCACTCAGATCCTCCCTCTTCATTTTCATTCAGACGGCGGCTTAACTTGGAGAATTGAAAAGTAGATAGTTTGTTAGTTTAAGCCTTCCAAGTTAATCTCTGAAAAACGACATTAGATTTGTGGTGGAGAACAACAAGTCAGTTCCCACGGGGAATCCGGAGTACTTACCTACAGATTTACCCTCGCCAGAATCAGGATCCGGCCCATGCAAAGCAGTCATTGGGCTCTGAAGGCCCATACTAGCAGGCCCGTACGCCGATCCCAGCGGCGTCCCCGAAACCAGGGGGGCAAAACGGAGACAAGCCCCACCGTTCCCGTGCAAACAATTCGGTTGCCCATGCCCTACGTGGACCACGGGAGGGCCCACTCACCAGCGACCCCGCGCACGTAGGCCACCAGTCTCCTCGCCTCCTCGGCTGCTCCCCTCCCGCTTCCCGACGACACAGCCCGACAGCCCGCAGCTCAGAAGGGATAACCCCAAACCAAACCAAAACCCCCAACCCAAACCCTAGCGACCAGCCACATTGATGACCTCCGCCTCCCCCGCCGCCGCCGACGTAGATGGACAGGCTCTCCCTCACCGTCATTGACGCCGCCTCCGCCGCTGCCGCCATGCCCTTTGCGCTCCGGCTCGGTGGTTCCCCAGCGCTTCGCCTCGCTGCCGCGCGCCGCGCGGGCCCGCGGCCCCCGGCGTGGCTGCGCTTCGGTGGCGGGGCCGGGGCGCGGAGGGGGCTGCTCTGCTCCGTCGAGGCCGCCAGGAGGGGTGGCGGTGACGAGGATGCGGAAGCGGAGGCGGAGGAGGGTCGGAGGGGAGGCGGGAGCCGCGTGCCACCGGAGAGGAGGATGAGGGGCGGGGGTAACGCGGCCGCTGCCGCGGTGGGGACGAGCGTCGAGCTCCTGGCGATTCCTGGTGTGGGGCCGCGCAACCTTAGGAAGCTCGTGGACAATGGCTTCGAGGGCGTCGCCCAGCTCAAGCAGCTCTACAGGGACAAGGTGCACTAGCTTGTGTTTTTGCTGGTTTGTGTGTTACAGGTAGGATTTTGGTTGCTTCAGGGCGTGGGTATTATGCTACAGCACTGTTAGATTGGTTATAATATTGCATCAAAGAAATCCTTCGTACATATGCCTATCTTTGTGCTTCGTTTTGGTTAATAATAACAGTTTTTGTTGCTTGACCATACATTATATCTCCCCATTATATCTATGCTTTGTTGTACAAGCCAAAATATTGAATATCATGTTGTGCACACTTACACACACTGTTTGCTGAAAGGTATCCTTTCTGCAAGACATTAACATTGTAAAATAGTTAAGTAGCAAATGTTTATCATTATAGAGGGTCTTTAGTTTATTTTTTAAGTAACCGAGCATATGTGAAATTTGAAATCAAATGAAAGGAACATGGCATGCTAATATTTTTTTCTTCTGATTTACAGTTTTAGATTTATTGGACTTTTGAGAACTTTATGCGAGATAATAATATCCCCAATCCCCTTATCTTGAAGTCTTTAAGGCTCTGTTTGGTTCACAGGAATTGATGGGAATTGGAAAATAATCTAATAATAAAATGAGAAGCACTTTCTAGATATTGGTTTCAATTCATGGGATCCAAACAGGCTCTTAAAGAAAACCAGGTCCATTTCAAACAGTCAAAATTGTAAAGGATCCATGTCTATTGTGGGTGGAAGTAAACAAACTCATGCTATTAAGGTTGCAATTCTTGCATAGATCTTAAAGTGCTTACATGGTGTCGTAGATTTACAAATGATACGAGAACACTTTCAGCTTTCTGCTTAGGCCCTGTTTGGAGCACAGGATTTTTTTCTCGAATCCTGCATTTTTCCTGTGAAATTCTTGTAAGATTCCTGTGAAATTCTTGCATAGATCTTTTTTTTTTATTGTTGTTTATGTTATTGTGCAAGTTTTACAGTTTTCTCCATTTGATACACCTTTCTCTGGATATAGAACCACTATATGCTATACTAATAGCTTGCATGCATGTGCAGTTCTTTGGCAAGTCTAGTGGGCAGATGGTTGAGTTCTTACAGTGCTCTGTTGGCATTGTACATAAGAATCATGCTGAGAGTATAACCTCATTCATTAAAGAGAGTGTTGATGAGGAGCTGAAAGATACAGATTCATCTAAACCCACTCAGAAGAAGAGGCTGACCTTTTGTGTGGAAGGGAACATCAGCGTTGGGAAAACCACTTTCCTCCAAAGAATAGCTAATGAGACAATTGAACTGCGTGATCTTGTAGAGATAGTTCCTGAGCCTATTGATAAGTGGCAAGATGTTGGCCCTGATCACTTCAATATATTGGATGCCTTCTATGCTGAGCCACATAGGTATGCATACACTTTCCAAAACTATGTGTTTGTGACAAGGGTCATGCAAGAAAGGGAATCTCAAGCTGGAATAAAACCTCTCAGACTGATGGAAAGAAGTGTATTCAGTGATAGGATGGTAGGTCAATCATTCTTACAAATTCTATTTCTGGAACTGAACATGCATTTCAGTTGCCTTCATATATGATTATGAAGTATCATCATCCAACTGAATGTTCTGTTATTGTGTACCAGGTATTCGTCCGTGCTGTTCACGAAGCTAATTGGATGAATGAGATGGAGATCAGCATCTACGATTCCTGGTTTGATCCAGTTGTGTCATCACTCCCAGGTCTCATCCCAGATGGATTTATCTATTTAAGAGCTAGTCCAGATACTTGCCACAAAAGAATGATGCATAGGAGAAGATCAGAGGAAGGTGGTGTTTCACTTGATTACTTGCAAGGTTTGCATGAGAAGCATGAGAGCTGGTTGCTTCCTTCGAAAGGATCGGGTCCTGGTGTATTATCGGTCAGTCAACTGCCCATGCATATGGAGGGCTCCTTGCCTCCAGAAATACAGGATCGTGTATTTTACTTGGAAGGAAATCACATGCACTCTAGCATCCAGAAGGTACTTGCTCCGATTGTTTCAAATTCTGGGTTCATGAAACACATTGGGGTATTTCCTGATCTGTCAGATCTTTCCAAAGTTTTGAATGAAAAATGGTTAACAAACATTGCCCACTCGAATTTTTTATGACTTCACTGGTTTATTGGCTTGTTATGAAGTTCAATTTCATTTAAATGTTGATGATGCTGTTTCTACTTTATAGGGAGGACAATAAACATGTGTAACAGTTATATGTCAATTCACTAGAAATATTTGCATTTTCCTAATGCTACTTGTGCAAATACCATCATTATCACAAACTATGTTGCCATTATTACAGTTTTGTACTAGAGCACACCCTGTCCAATCTCAGAATCTAAATGCAATTGCAATGGAAAACTTTGATTCAATTTAAATTGAATGGTTTGCTAGGAATGGTAGATCAGTTCCTGGAGGTATCCAGGTTATTACCACTGAACTTAGCATCACTGCTTTAAGCACCTCAGTTAAATTAATGTCTTTTTCTATGTAGGTTCCTGCTCTCATCTTGGATTGTGAACCTGATATTGATTTCAGCAAAGACATAGAAGCTAAACGACAGTAAGTTTGCACAACTTCCTTATACAAACTGTGTTATTTCTTGCCTCAAGTTTTGTCCATGGACGGCAGTGAGTTTGTTGCTCCTGTAGTTCTATTCCAGTCACTGTTTACTGAATTGAATTCCAACATACTCCTACTTGTTTTCTAATGAAGACTTTGATCTACCCACAAAATCATGTGTTCTCATTTAATGCTAGTCTTTCGTTTGTGTAGATATGCTAGGCAAGTTGCAGAGTTCTTTGAATTCGTGAAGAAAAAGCAGGAACAAGCTCCATCCGAGCAAACAAGCAATGACAAGGACCGCATGAACCCACAGGTACTGCTTCCTAACAGCAGCCGCTTGTGGGGGGTCCCTAAAGGCAACCCTTTTGCAGGCTCTCCAATGAATCTGGATTTCAGAAGAGCCATGTCTTCGTACCTCTCAACTTAGGACTCCCAGCTGTTAAAAGAAATTAGCTGTCTTCGCTCACTGACCTTGCAAAGAGCCTATGCATTAAGTTCAACCTTAGGTCGCCTGATGCTAGCCACTGATGTAAAATAGGTTGCATCTCCCTTGTGTAAATTATGATCTTAGCGCTAGTTCCACGTTTTGCAGCACTAGCATCTGCGTTTATCAGATCTGATCGGTTGACAGATCTAATCTGTACCGTAGTTTCTTTGCTTGAATCATTCTATTGAACAGATTTTGTGGAGTGCGTGTGCTGCTTCGACTTTTACTATATGTGTGGAAGGTTCCTGATGATGTTATGTTATGCGTTTGTTCACCTGGTGGAAAGGCTTTGGGCCGCCTCGAGGATTGACCGGGGAGCCGTTGAAATGTTTGTGCTGGTCAATGTGAAATGTGCGCGCTGGCTGCCGCAGACCCGCAGCGTTGGCAAACTGACATTCAACTGCCGAATTTGTGGTCCGTGGCGTCTGATGCTCATGCTCTGATCTGATGCCCTGTGTCATGAGGCCGTCGGAACAGGTGACGTGGTGAACGCATCACGCTGTACGGTCAAGTCTCAACTCTCAAGTGTCCGGTCATGGGGCATATGCCGCACAACGTATTGGGCAGGGAAGCCTTGTCCTCCACCAACACCAAGAAAAACTGGCGAATCAGATTGGCGATTGCTACACGCTGATTCTGCGGACGATTCACATACAGTGAAGTGATCTGTTTGTCTCAGTGGAAAATGACTTCGTTCTTGACAACCTTTACACAGCCGTTTCCTCCAAAATTCGTTTGGGACTCATCCATTGCGCCAAGCCGCCAGCCAAATGTGGCGTGACAACTGCAAACAAGTGGACTGAACGAACACACAAGTGGAGTGAAAGAACACCTGTTAACCAGGGCAGGCAACGAACACTGTCCTCTCGTGCATACGGTTTCAGAAAACAGAAAGAACACCTGTTAACCACGGTAGGCAACGAACACTACTGTCCCTCATGCATTCGGATTCAGAAAAACATCTGCGGTGGTGTGGACCGCCCAACTAGTCAGACGCGTAAACGCCAATAGGAAAGAAAACAACCGTCCGACAGGTGGGGGAATGCGGTGGGCAACGGAAATAGGGTGAGGATTATCTTTTTAAACGAATTTGATAGGAGAGCTGCCGACTATATTGAAAAGAAGAAGCCTATACTAGGTAGTACTTAAAAAAACTAAGGGTGTAGAACAACACGTGTCAAAGACAAATCAACTCGTATCCACCATTAATGTACACCGACGACTCACCCTCCAAAAACTCCCTCAGATAGCCAGCCAATTGCCACACATCGTCCGAACGACATAGTCGTCGAGACAAAATACCAAAGTCACCACTTGCGCCATCGTTCCCAATGTTGTCCCGCACCGAAGTAGCCTCTGCCAAGCAGGGCTAGTCGCTGCAATCCGCTGCAAGCCGTGTAACCGTCATGCCCGTTGCACCGCTTCATGGCGTTGTCACACACCAGACTAGATCCTCACATGCAGGGCTAGTCGCCATAGTCCGTTGCAAGTCACCAATCCAATACTTGAGTTGCCTCTAGGCGGCGTTGTGTCGACCCCATCCACCGAGATCCGGTAACTCTCAGCAACCCTGCCGCAAGCATAACTAACAAAGCCATTGGTTAATTATAAGCACAATAACCAAACACAACTACCTAACAAAGTGATAATAGTTCATTGCTACGATGAAAACACCTTTTAGCTGGGTCCAAACATGCACTAGTTAACAGTTAGCTGACTAATTTTTAGCTCGGCTAATAATTAAGCTTAGCCAATCCAAACATGCATTAAAGGCTTGACTAATTTTTAGTCCACCTGTTAGCCATCCTATTTAGATCAACTAGAGCTAATTTTTAACTCTAAGAGCAACTCCTAGTGCCTTATTAAACTTAGTTCCCCTATATCTCATATAGGGTGCATCCTAAAAAAAAAATCTTCCCCAAATATATGTCTTCTTCAACGGTTCTTTTATCTTAAAGGGTGAATAACATATCATCCCAAATTTGAAGGAGAGGGTGAAGATATAGGATACCACTAAACGTATGATGCTAGATAGAGGGTCTGATTGACCGTGATTACATACTTTAATTTTTACTTTAATATTACCTCTGTTCACAAAAGAATATAATTTTAGGTGTGTTATTGTTTATGTGTCTAAAGTTTAACCAAATATTTCTTTTTGAAAGTAAAGTTTAACCAAATATATAGATAAAAATGTTAATATTTATGACTCCAATAAGTATATATAGTATGAAAATATATCAAATAACAAATCTAACGATACTTATTTGTTATTATAAATATTGATATTTTTCATTTATATAGTCATTTAAACTTAAAATACTTTACCTTTGTTTGAGCTAGATATATTGAACTAGAAATTGTATTCTTCTATGGATGGATCAAGTAGATTGGATAAGGAACTCTTAGAGATGCTCTTAACGTTAACATCAGTTCCTGGCATCAATGCCCTCTATCACGTTGGCTTCTCGGCGTCAAATCGGAGAGCAGCCGCAGCAAAGTAGCAAACTGCCTGCGCCCGACCTGGTCTCCGTACGGACATCGCGACGCCGCCGGCCGGGTACCCGTCTCCGCGTCTCGCTGCCTCGCGCGGGCCGCGGCGGCCTCACGTGTCTCGCCCGTGCCGTCGCTCTGTCAGTGTCGCTTCGCCGCGCCCTTCCTCGACGTCGATGGCGAGTGATCGTCCCGTGAAACGTGCCGTCTTTTCACATCGTTTCCTGGCTGTTTCGGACGCTAAAACGCACGAGAAAACCCACCGTCAGGAGCCATCATTTCCCGCTTGTCTCTCTGGCGGCTGCCGATTTGTAATATAGCAATCTATACAAATGCACGCGAGACAAGCTACCAGCTACCATTGCAGGGTCGTTGACAACTAATTAAAGACTGGTGAAAAAGCTATAGGTAAAGAGCCAAGTATTAAAAAAAGCAGTACTAAAAGTGAAAGGAAAGAGAATCACTGATGATGACCAGTGACCATGTCGTCGCAAAAGGTCAGGGGTGGCTTTGTTTCTTCCCCTTTTTCATCTCGAAAGGTGAATATTCTTTCGACGACGCTGCTGCTTTGTACCGACACAAAAAGTAGAGCTCGGACAGCCTAGTCTGGCTGGGGTCTGCGTCTGAGATCCAAGGCAGCAAAGTGCTTGTTGGTCTGCCCTATCTGCATCAGCGATGTGCGTCAACTCCTTTTTGAAGAAAATGTGCATGCAGTCCTATTGCTATGCGCGTGCTGATGACTGACACATTCAAACAGTCACGTGGTGATCACGGTTCTAGGAGAAAAGGAGCTGTAAACAAAAGAATATAATGGACAATGTGTTACTCGTGTCCTTTTAGGCACCCGTAGCGGTGCACTGATTCATCGAGGCGGGAGGTAGCAACGTGCCATGTAATTCTCATTTTCATAGGATTCAAATAATGTGACATTTGATCAAATCTATAAAAAATATTAATATTTATGATACGCAATAAGTATTATTACACTAATTATAACATAAATTTTTATAATATACCTATATAGAGATATAAATATAAATATTATTTTCTATAAATTTAGTCGATTTTTTTTAAATGACATGTCCTAAACTTAGAATTATATTTTTTTACGCAATAACTACACCAAAAAGAAATGGATTCATCGTTTCAAGTGGTGTATGACCCATAGTCAGCCCATCCTCTTACCATTCCTCTTGTCTACCGGTGCATGGGCTCCATGACATTGGCATCATAACGTAGGGGACATCACTATTGTGCCATAGGGCTGATCGTGCCCGCCACCGTTGTAGCCTATATTGTTTCTCCGCCCCCTCTCACTCCTCAAGGAGCTTCATGCCGCGGCAGGGGCTCACATCGCTGCTATTGCCATCGTGCAGGGGCTTTGTGTTGCTGCCTCCTCCTCATCCCTCCTCAAGGAGCTTCATGACGTCATCGTGCAGATGTTGTACCTCTATATTACCGTTCCTGTTGCCGCCACCTCCTCCTACAGGCGTAGAACTGCATGATCCATTTTTTATTGTCTATGGACAGATGCATATCTTTACATCGTTTCTTCTCTCTTCTCTCTCCCTTTGAAGGTGCGGTGTCCTCCACTAGTTGAATCGGCTCATGGCGATGCCATGGTGGATGATGCATCACTTTGTAAGGCCACTATAGATGGCCTTATAACCTAGTACCACATCTATCCCAAAAAAGATACAATTCTATGTTGAATCAAAGTCAACTATCTTAAGTTTGGTTAAGTTTATAGAAAGTATTATCAACACATGTGACTCCAAATATATATACTATAAAAATATGCTTCATGATGAATCTTAATAATACTAATTTAGTAGGATAAAGATCATAATCTTTTTTATATAAATTTAGTTAGACAGTTTGACTTAACACTATTCTAGAATTGTATCTTTTTGGGACAAAGGGAATACTGATATTTTTTGCGAAGGGAAGGGAGAACTATATTAAAACTTGGCACACTACATCCCCATATTACATATGAAAAAAAAACTAAAATAAATAAGGTACAATAGTTTGAACACGCTCGGTACTTCCATGCACAAGCACTTCAATGGCGGGTGGATTCCTACATCCCATGGATTCTTGACCTCAGCTTGACCTCTCAGTCAATGGGTCTTCTCATCCCTCTTAGACCCTGTTTGGATTGTTGGAAACAAGTGAAAGCTCTAGTTTGGTTTTGGTTAATTGATGAAACCCTAGGTGCTAACCCTTTTACTCTAAGTGATCATGAGATAGGGTAGCACATTCCAATTGGTGGAGCAAATGATGAAGATCATGATGATGGTGGTGATAGCCATGGCGATGATCAAGTGCTCGGGCTTGGAAAAGAAGAAAGAGAAAAACAAAATAGGCTCAAGGCAAAGGTGATATCCATAGGAACATTTTGTTTTGATGATCAAGACACTTAGTGAGTGTGATCACATTTAGGATAGATAGCTGTACTATTAAGAGGGGTAAAACTTGTCATGAAATGCGGTTATCAAAGTGCCACTAGATGTTCTAACTCATTGCATATGCATTTAGATTCTAGTGAGGGCTAACACCCTTAAAAATATTTGTGAAAATATGCTAACACACGAGCACAAGGTGATATACTTGGTGGTTAGCACATTTGATGAAGGGTGGCGAAGTTGGAGTTGAGGAGGCACAGTTTACAGCGACCGGATGCTAGACTGGACGCTGGATCGGCGAGTCCGATCAACGGTGCAGAGACGACGCAGCTAGGGCTTGTGATCGGACCCTGAGTGGTGCGTGTGATCGGACGCACAGGGGGAGCGTCCGGTCATGCGATGACGTATG